ATATATTATATATATATATATTACATATATATATAATATATTATATATATATATATATATATATATATATATATTATATATATTACATACATATATATATATAATATACATATATATACATATACATTTATATATACATATAATATATATACATATACTATATATACATATTATATATTATATAATATATATAATATATAATATATATATATAATATTATATATATATATTATAATAATATATTATATATATAAATATATATATATATATTAATTATTAATATATATATATATATATATATATATATATATATAATGAAAATATGTATATATATTACACACACACAAATTATTTATATTTATACATCAATATATATATATATATATATTATATTATATATTATATATATAATATAATATATATAATATATATATATATATATATATATAAACATATATATATAAAATATATAAAATATATAATAATATAATAAATATAATATATATATCATATCTCACACAAACACAAACACCACACACACACTGGGGCCAGGAACTAGGAAATCATAAATCTATTTCATAAATACTTTATTTTTACCATGATGATGGTAGATTAATTTTGTAAATGGGATTTTGTTTGAAAGTTGGATCATGTTATCCTTCATATATTAGCAGCAGATAAGATTTCAAAAATACAAATCAACATTCTAACTACAGAAAAAAATAAACAAGAATCCCTTACAGAATACGAACTTGTTTTCTTGACTGAACATCTACAACAGATAAACTTAAACAAATGCTCCCCAGAACATACAGGGAAAAAGCAAACTAAACAAGACATTTAGTAGCAATTATATTATTTCCACAAACATTCAATTTCACAAGATATTACAGGTCAATATCAAGCCATGAAAATTGAAAGACTATATAATCTTTATTCTGTTTTACTGCCATACATACATACATAGTGTATGAATTGCCTCATTTCCTTAAATAAATATCTGACACCTTTAAAAATTTCATCTCAAGTATAACCTTGAGTATTTAGGTCTTCACAGTCAACACAATTTAAAATAGTTTCTGCTATCTGCTACCTCTTAGTTCTTGTTGACCAAGACATAAAATATTAAATCTATTGTTGCACTGTACTTTAATAAAGAATAACGCTTTTACCAAATTATGTACATTTCTTCGCATCCTATGTTGACGATCTTCAATTTAGATTATTTAGCAGGTACTTCAAACAACCTGTCAAAGACCTCTTAACAAGAAGTATTTGTAATTCTTGATCTCAGGCACACAGTCCCTCCAAACCTTGCTTCTAGTCTGAGTCTGAGCCTGAACCAGAGCCTGAAGAGTCTGAATCAGAGCCTGAGTCAGAGCCTGACCCTGATCCTGAAGCCCTACTGCGTGCCGGAGAGCCTCGCTGTGATGGGGATCGGCTTGGACTCCGCTTGTTTGATTTGGCCGATCTGCTCGATGCAGCTGACTTCGCAGATCTGTAATTTACATTTTTTGGATCTGTATTTTTTTTTCTTACAATACAGGAGATATATAAATAAATGAAAATAACAACAAAAAGAAAGACAATAGAAAGAAAAAAAAGAAGAATAGAGCTGTTTATCAACCACAAAACATATCAGTATTACCACCTTGCCCTATCTAAAAGATGAAACAGGTCTCTAGTGTACCAGGAAAACTTCAACAAGGATATATAACATCCTCAAGCATGTAATAATGTCTGATTTTCCTGTATATAACTAGAGTGAAGAGGAAATACCCAAAGCCCTTGTTTCTCTTTGGTATGGTCTGAGTGGTAATGCCTCTGCTGTATATTTGAAGGCATATAGATTGTCTAAATACCACTGTACCTGCATCTATGCATGTTACAGATATTTCTGTTCCAAAAACAGTACAGTTCCTGTATTGTAAGCTTGTTGTTACCCAATTAATCGAGTCTCTATAAAAAGTTTGCATGAGCCAATTAAAAAGGTAGACATGCACAGACTCCAGCTAAATGCTGCCTGAAAATGCATTGAGAAAAAATGACAAAATGTTCTATTTATGCTAAATATGTAAACTTCTACCTCCCACCTATGAACCCACATTAAAAAACTTGCATGGCCCATTTTCTATTTATCTAACCTTTATCTAACAAACAAAAAATAAGAACCTTATGATCTTGATAGAAAAAAAAGCAAAAATAAAGCAAAGAACCTTACCTTTCAGACCTTGCAGGGATGCACTTGGGGACCTTGAAGGTGAGCGGGATGGGGAGCGAGTTTTGGACTTGGAGCGAGAGCGAGACCTGGATCCTCTGGATCCTCTGGACCCTGAGCAGAACGAGATCGAGACCTGCAAATGCACAAGGAAGAAATAACATGATGAGTTTAAATGTTCGTGGAATTTGAAGTCACAGGAGTCACTTTGCAAATATTAATTTACAGTAATATCAATTCATTATGCAGTTTGTATCTGTAGTTGAAAATTACACAAAAATTTAGCCATTATAAGACATGACAGAGGGACAGGGAGAGAGAATGTGTACAAATGAAAAAGAATGGAAAAGAAAGGAAAGAAAGAAAGAAAATCAAAGGGTATGATGAGTACATTAACCCACAGCTTCCTGGTACATGAACTGCCCAATATAGTTTTGTTTAGTGAACAGTGTAGTCTATTCACAGAAATGGCTCTAAAAGTGCTCAGTTCACAAAAAGTCAATTATTAGGCCTGCATGATCTAACCTGATTTCCCCATTCCTTAAATTTTGGGTAAAATGTTTTTTTGAATGCTACTGACATGGATGTTATTATTATTATTGATTTTGTTATTATGTCCTTAAAGTACTAATAGCAATAGCAAAAAATTAAAACAAATCTTTCCAAATATCAAGGAAAAGAAAATGGTTGAGATAGGTAGAACTAGTAATGGACCCCTTGATGAATGTCCAAACACAACAAATGAACTAAAATCAGTGGACATGACATATACATACATGTTATCTCTAACGGCAATGAGCTAAGAAGAACTGAATGCAGCTTTAAACTGCAAACAGAAAAGGTTGTGCAATATGAAATGCAACAAATAGGTTGAAGACAAGTACTTACCTTGACTTTGACTTGCTCCTTGACCTACTTCTTGACTTGCTTCTTGAACCACTGCGGGATCTGCTGCGTGACTGACTTCTGGACTTGCTGCGAGATTTGCTGCGTGACTTGCTTCTGGAACTGCTTCTTGACTGGCTTCGTGAACGTGAACCTGACCGGCTCCTCGAGCGTGAGCCCGATCGACTCCCTTGCTCATCCTTTATCCATCATTGGAGTGCCTGACCTTGAGCGATCACTGCCCCTCATCATCAGACCCCTTGGCACTACCTGCATTTCCATACCAAGTATTTGATTTAATATATTATAAAAAAAAGGACTTTTACAATAAAAACTGATGGTATGTTTTAGATACTGGATAAATGACATGTTCAAAATGAGAAATTCTACCTCTAAATACACTACTGCATTCGGGTGGCAATAACTAACGTAACTCATCAAAAGGTTTCTTCATTATTTTGGTGCTTTATATCAAAGAGGAAATGGAGATTAATCAATCCACAATACCTTTATCATTCTCTTCCACCTCCATCTCTTCCTCCTCTTCCTCTTCCTCTTCTTCTTCTTCCTCATCCTCACCAGGTGGTTCCAGCATTCGTTCCCTAAACCGCTGTGTCTTGTGTTCCTGCGCAATGAGAGGACGATGACGCACCACAAGCCTAGAGTTGTTAGGCTGCTGACCTTGCTTCAGTCGACGTTTGCTCAATCGCACTCTGTTACGGGAAAGATTTACTTTCAATATTTCTCAGCCATCAATATACTCTGAATTGTTAGTGTCATTACAATAATTACTTTGACCATTATTCTAATGAGTTTTGGTCAGATTTAAAAGTATTAGTACATATTGAAGAAACTGGTACTATCTTCTATGTACATTATATAAATCTATCAACATCTTCTATGCCATATCAAAATTCTTTACAAAAGTACAAAATATCACGAAAACAATCATTACTGCTTTTTCTTTCTTTCTTTTTTTTCACTTCCATATATAGATCTGAAAAAATAAAAAAAATATATATGAAATCAGAGTGAAGAATAATGAACCTACCTTGTTTCAAGCTCGTTGTAGTAAACCCCATCATCACGAAGTACAAAGAAGTAATTCTCTTCGTAGCCCTTTGAGGCCTTGTTCTTAACGTTCCAGTTGTACTCTCTTGCCATCAGGTAGTCATACTCATCTTCATCCATGTAGTCAACATTTTCTTCAGCATCTCGTTTTCTCTTCTTTAGGGTCTCATCAGTTGGCAGGAAGTAGGCCACAAACTGTTCTCCTGATTCATCCATCACACCCCTAGTATGAAAAAAAAGTGTGTAACAAGTCAATGTTTAAATCAAGGCATAAAAATACAATATAATTGAAGTCTGACTCTATTGACTCTTAATAGCCTGAATTCATTTTCCCAGAAATATATAAGGTAAAAACTATTTGGTTGGGAGTGAGTGGTCTTCACTGATAAATAATAGTGAAGTACAGATAACTGCAAGTTCAATTAATTCTTTGTTTATATAAATCATTAGCGAATTTTGTATAAATTTCCTCTTATTCTACTTGCCAAACTAAAGCACAGAATTAATAAACTGCTGGACGTTTGGTAACCACATCTTACCTAATCATTGCTTGTGACATTTCCTCAAGCTGGGCTGGCATTGGTCTACCCACAGGAGCAGGGTCAGAGTCGAAAATGACCTGGGCACATGGGTACTTCCAAAGGCTGAAATCTGGGAATACTGGTAATTCTTCCACAGCTGTGACCCCTGGCTTGCTGTAGTGGTGCTTGAAGGCTCTTTAACTTCAAGGAAGGTCTTCTCAATTGCTCTCAGCTGACTCTCTCTGTCAGTGTATACATTCTCATCCTGTAAGTGGTAAATTTTTATTAGACTAAGTTCCCTTGATAAAGAAATATGCCATTCATAGATATAAATAGATTGTGTATGTGTATGTATATATATATATATATATATATATATATATATATATAATATAATAATATATATATATATATATATATATATATATTATATAGATAGATAGACATAGATAGTTAGAGAGATAAATAGATGGATAAATATAGAATCAAGCAATTCATCACAAAGTAACCAAATATAAAAGTTAGTTAAGAAATAATACATTCTGCTACTTTTCAAATGATAAATTTAATATGATTAGAAATATATTTTAATATGATTCAAATATATTCATATACATTAGTTTCATATGCATATACATACAGTAGCCTTTCTCCTGCGAGCTGCAAAACCGACTGTAGCTTCAATTTTCTCCATTGTCTGAGGCTGGAATCTTGTTGGCTCAGTGGAGATGTACTCTGTCCTTCGCAACCATGACACATTGACATGGTGATGGCGAGAACGTTTAGCATCCTGAAGTTTGGAAATGCCATTAATAATAATAATAATAATAATAATAATAATAATAATAATAATAATAATAATAATAATAATGATAATGATAACGATAACGATAATAACAACAACAACAACAACAACAACAAACAAATTTGTATTACATTATATACTAGTAACTCTCACTGCCTCAAGGATTCCCTCCTAAAAGCTCAAGTATTAACGAATTAGGAATTCCAAAATCACTATTCCCATCCCCTAGTCTCACCTGTGGAGTGAGAATGTCATCTTCCAGCAACCTCTCATCTGTGGGATGCAGTTGTGCATTGGACTGAGGCGTGTAAGCTTCTGGGTTAATCAGGTCAATTGTAACTCCAAGATCGTGCTCAGTGAGAACTTCATAGCGATAATTCTTCTCTAAGGAGGTTTGTTTATACCGCACATACCTGTAAGTAAAGGACAAATTTCAGCAAAAATCTCCAGAATAATATTTGATCAAACTATACAAAATTTCCAATCCAGACTTAAATTTATATCAGTGCTGGGTTCTTACTAAAAACTAAATGTACTTACCTATTAGAATCAAATGGGTAATTGATGAATTTTGGATCAAATGGAATATCTGGCAATGTGTTGCAGTACTTCACCCTACTCACTAGGTCAGATCTGTGGAAAGATATAATAAAATTTATTCAGCAAATTTTGTATCTGTAGGCAAAGGCATTGTGGCAATTTCTGTGAGTGAAATTAAGATATATAAATTGAAGATGCATTACATTATATAACACTTCTTCACAGAAAGAAATATTGTTTACACTCTATTTTAAAAATAAAATAATAAAAGGAAACAGAAAAAACAGCATATGGGCTCTATAACGGACTACCAGAGATTACACACTAAGGTCAAACACTTGCCTTCTAATCTGTATTTGTTCCTGTGGGGGAGGCTTGCGAGGAAAGAGATATTGCTTAAATTGACACATCCACTGACATTCTGATCCACCCTTTTATCATGGCATTCCCAAATTATATATTACGAACTTTCTTAGTATATATCATGTTCTCCCCAACCTTCTGGCCTATAACAATATAGCTTATCACTGATACAACAGTAGTATAAATGGACAGTATGCACAATAATTAAACTATCAATACTAGGTTAGTATCAATGCAAAGACCTTCCAGTAACATTTACCTGAAATCTTCTATTGAAAGCAACAAATATATTCTAACACCGCAAATGGAATAATATAAAAGAGAAACATATAAGCTATAAATATAAATAGAGGAAGTGATTGCTGTACTA